GGAAATGTTCCACACCCTCACCACACCCCTTTCCTGTCGATATTTTCCCCTTGTAAATTGGTGCATTTAGGCAGTTTAGCCTGTTTGTTCAGCAATCCATCTTTTTGTTCCCTTGGATTAGGAAAGCTCTACTATCTATCTATCCAGCACTACTGTCTTTCTTGCTCTCTTTAAATCAGGTGTATTTATGTTTGTGGTAAAGATGACATGTCTGTTTGGAGGTAGAGACTGTGGAGTTTCTTCTCTTTCTGAAGAAACAGTTTTGCAGTGGATGTTGTGAGTTCGCATGATACCTTTGACAACATGGACAAGGAGCCACTCATTGTCATACCGGTCAGTAGAGACTGCAGTTTATGCAGCATGCACATAAATGTTATACTCAGAAAGATTTTATGAATGGATGTGTACTTTGCAAACATTACAGATGTACTTTCTCATTTAATGGCTTGCGATATGACTAATGAACTAAAACATTTATAATATTAAGCTGCATCAGCTTAAATAGTTAGTAAGTGGCTACAGGTAAATTACATTATAACTCTGCACAACAAAGCTATTTGCTTCAATGAAGCCATTCATCTGCTTAAACAAAGGCAATTCTGACCCCTAAATGCTCAAGGAAAGTAAAAGCCTTGAATTATATTAAAACCGTCTGAAAATAGGAAAAAGACATGTCTCTTCACATTCATTACTTCATTGACAGTGAAAATGCATAAGGCTTTGATTTGCATTAGCTTGTCATGGGTTCTGAAATTTGTGTTAAAGAAAAAGAAAGGAAAACTGCAAGGCATACTAATTTCAACCAAAAAAGTTGTTTGAGATGTTATCGATGCTGTTAGATTAATCTAGAACTCTTTCAAAAGAACACTTTCCCAAAAGAATCGACCAACTTTTTCCACATGACTGATGTTCCCTGATTGTAGTTTCCATGGCAGCCAGTGGTTGCCATGGTCATCTGTGCAAGCAGTAATCATGGGCTTCTAATGGTGTATTAAAGGACTGATTTTCTGTTGGGCAAAAGCTCTGGCAGAAAAAAGTTTCAGTGTGAAATAGATCAGCAGTTACATATACAGTATAGCCCAGCCGCATACTTGTTGGCATAATGTGTTGAACATAAAAAATGTTCTTATTTTTTTTTTATTTTCTTATTTATTTTGGGGATTTTTGTCTCTATTAGATACAATGTACAGTGACGTTTTTAGCTTTTTCTTAAAAATGAAAGGTTCTTTATTGGCATCTGATTTTCATAAAGAACCATGGAACTTTATATTGCACAAAAGGTTCTTTATAGTGGAAAAATGACCTGAAAGTTCTTTAGATTATTAAAATTCACACTGCAAAAATAAGAAATGCTTCTTTTAAGAATTGTTTTCTAAAAAACAAAAAAACCAAAATGGCATCTCTATGAAAACTTCCTTGTGGAACTCCTGTTTTTAAAGAGCCATGGTCAGCGATTGATCTTTGATCAGAGTCGAGGGAGGTAATGGAAAGCTGAAGTCTGTTCTGACGTGATGTGAATGGATGAACTGATCCAGACCACACAATCCTCTCAGTGACACAATACAAACCTTAGCTATTAATATCCAAGAGCGTGTGAAATAGTTGACTGTGAATAGTGAAGGTTGGATGTCAATAACTTCAAACGTCATTGGTTTTTAAGTGTTTTTTTAACGTAAGTCATGACGTCAAACCTGTGCCATAGACCTTATACACCGCAGCGCAATCTTTGATTTTTGATGGGAATGAAAGCGAGGCTGTGAGGGCAAGACATACATCTCTACAGTGGGTTGTACTGTTATTCAATGTGTTTTTTTCATTGTTCTGTTTATGAAAAACTGCAAAAATATATTTTCAAGAAATTTCAGTAGACAAAAAAAACTCCAGACATCATAAGCTGTGGAAAATTATAAGTGATATAGGAGCTTTATTCAGCTTGAAAACACTCTCACAGCCTTGCTTTTATGCCTGTCATTGTGCTGCTCTGAATAAGGCCTATAGGTGTCATGTTGCCGTGTTGGATTTAAAATGGCTCTGTTCCTCACACAAAGCTATTGTGTGACTTCAGAGGCAGATCAAGTCATACAGACTACTTAGATCATACTTTCTAATTGTGTGTGTTTGTGTGTAAAATATCTTTCACAGAAATATATAGAATAAGGATAAGGAGAATAAATACTGACAGACTCTTCAAGGTTTGGTTCTTTTTCCTAGTGTCTCTGTCATTTCTCCTATAGCATTACATTTACACCCCTTCAAGCACTGTGGTCGATTATCATACACTCGTCTCAGTGACAGACCCCCTGTGGCGCGTTTCTTCAGTTCGTGCCCTTTAAAATTGGTTCTTGTCTGTAAGACATGGCTGCTGCCCTTCCTTTTAATAATGGCACATGTCAAGAGGAAGAGGAGGCTTATATCTTGAAGAACAAAGCATGAGATGAAAGATGAGCAGATGTCTGCAGATGTTTCGTGCTCTGGGTTAAAATGAGATCTGACAATACAGTTCAAAGCATCGAGAGAAATGTCAGTTTTTTAAATGCATTTGAACAAGATATCATCTAGTGTCCACTGTATTTCCTTGTGTGTGTGTGTGTTTGGGTCTATTGAGGTATATTCTAACATTTTACACTTTTACTCATAACTTGTAGTAGACATGTTTGTTTGAATGTCATTAGCTATATTTTCATTCCTTACATATGCATTACTGTATATAAGGAAATATATGCAATTATTTGGGACGGGGACGGGGGTTTGACGGGATCAGGAAAGGTCTACGAGCCAGGACTCGAACTCGAGTCACCCGAAGCACAACGGCACGCTTGCTCACAAGGCTATCGGTGCCAACAATTTAATGCTAATTAATGCTTTTGTCGTTTTCATTAGCTTTTTTAATTGCCATTTTATTTTCAGTTAGTCATTTAAGTGCTTCAACCTATTTCAGTTTTCATTTAGTTTAAGTTTTTCAACTAATTTACATTTTATTTTGGTAACACTTTACAATAAGGGGTGCTGGGATGAAAAAGGGACTCAAGAGCAGATTAGCAGTTCACTTAATTTGTACAAAATGCAAAGAAAAAAACAAAACAAATCAATCGAGCAAAGGGCGGGGCAGTGGCGATATCCAAGGGGCTGGCAGGAGAAAAGCAGGAAGTCAGTTCAGCGAGGTATCAATCTCAAGAGAGAGAGACAATATGGAGAAACGGGCCCTGCAGGGGTCAAAACCGGAGGCAGAACCACAGCCCCAGGGTAGAGCCAATGCAATAGTCCAAAACAAGAGCAGATCAAATCAAAACAAAGTGAACGAGCCGAAACTGGACTGAGTACAGAGACTGGGCAAATCAGAGGGAAAACAAAACAAGATTAAATAAGCAGACAAGGCATGTAAACTGGGCACGACCAGACTGTTTAGGACAGTAGTGATAACCAAGACACACTGACAGAGAAGCAAAGAAAGAGAGAAGTAGTGGAGAAACCCAATGCAAATTCGGAGACAGGTGTGTGCGTAAGGAGAGCTGATTAGAATGAGGTGCAGCTGTGATGGCAGAGACTGACAACAAAGACACAAACCAAACACAACAGAAAGGCTGATGATCAAACCAGAGTCCTGACACTAACATGAACTAACAATGAGCAATACATTTGTTACAGTATTAATTCATTTTTGTCAATGTTAGTTCATAAAAATACTGCCATTCATTGTTCGTTCATGTTAGTTTAGCACATTAACTAATGTAAACAAATACAACTTTTGATTTTAATAACGTATTAGTAGATGTTGAAATTAATATAATCTGTAAGATCAATGGGTTAGTTCACCCAGAAATGAAAATTAGCTCATGATTTACTCACCCTAAAGCCATCCTAGGTGTACTGTATATGACATTCTTCTTTCAGATGAATACAATCGGAGTTATATTAAAAACATGTCCTGGCTCTTCCAAGCTTGGTAGTGAATGGCTAGAGAAAAAAGTGCATCCAATCCATGATGAAATAAATACTCCACACGGCTCCGGGGGTTAATAAAGTTCTTCTGAAGCAAAGCCATGGGTTTTTGTAAGAAAAATGCACATATTTAAAACTTTATAATCTAAAATTACTAGTTTCCACCAGACGATCGTACCCATGCTACGTAAGTCGACTTGCAATTGGCTTTATGCACAGCTGCACTACTTCCTGAACTTAAGCCAGCTCCTGTTTCCTATCTGCCATTATTGGGCAAATTGATTAATTCAGGTGTGCCTGATTATTGTTGCCGTGACTACTGAGGTCAGTCACACCTGAATTAATCAATTTGGCCAATAATTGTAGACAGGAAACAAGGAGCTGGCTGAAGTTCAGGAAGTAGTGCAGCTGTGCATGAAGCCCGTTCGCAACTAGTGTTTTGTTTTCCTATGAGCTTCCACGTTCATCATTACGCTGTGCTTCGGGTTAGGGGTTAGTCTTCCACCGTAAATCGATTTGTACAGCTGTCTTTCGGAAGCTATAAAGTTTTAAATTTCTAGGATTTTCCTTATGCCGCAAATGCATGGCTTCCTCACTTCAGAAGGCCTTTATTAACTCTCTGGAGCCATATGGATTGCTTTTATAATGGATGGATGGATTTGGTTTTAATTTTTTTCCAGCCATTCACTCATTATTAAACTTGGAGGAGACGGGACATTTTTTAATATAACTCTGATTGTATTTGTCTGAAAGAAGAATGTAATTATTTACACCTAGGATGGCTTCAGGGTGAGTAAATCATGGGCTTCATTTTTGTATGATGAATTCATTTTTGGATGAACTATTCTTTTCATTGTTCATTCTTTGTTCATGTGAACTATAGTTAACTAATGAACCTTATTGTAAAGTGTTACCTTTATTTTATTTCAGCTTTATTTCAATTAACACAAAGTAGTTATGAATGTTGTAGTTATGAAATCTGCCAGCAAAACTGTCGGCGACGCTAACCTTTCTAAAGATACCCCATGACATCTTCTGAACATCTCTCCTTTTCTTCCCAGGTACTGTCACTCGGGGCAGATGTGCTTCCCGAGTACAAGCTTCAAGCTCCACGCATCCACAAGTGGACAATCCTCCACTACAGCCCATTCAAAGCAGTATGGGACTGGATCATCTTACTCTTGGTGCTCTACACAGCCGTCTTCACACCCTACTCCGCTGCCTTTCTCCTCAATGAGCAGGAGGACGAGAGGAGGCGCACCTGCGGCTACACCTGCAACCCCCTCAATGTAGTGGACCTGGTGGTGGATGTCATGTTCATTATCGACATCCTCATCAATTTCAGGACCACTTATGTCAATCATAACGACGAGGTTGTCAGCAATCCTGTTCGCATCGCTCAGCATTACTTCAAGGGCTGGTTCCTCATAGACATTGTGGCTGCGGTTCCTTTCGACCTGCTCATTTTCAGATCAGGTTCAGATGAGGTGAGGATTGTGATGTGCTAACTAGGTGGTATATGAATACATGTATATGATATTGTATACAATATTTCAGATGTACTGCTAGAACAGAATGTACAATTGTAAAGCATTCTACCTTTAGAAGAACCACTCAGACTAATCAACGAATCATCTAGACTATTGATCACAGTGTAATAATGTTGATTGTGTTTGGTATGCTGAATGATTTATTCGCATGTAGATTCTGCCATAATGAGGAAGGCCACCTTCACAGAATGATGAAACAGCATCCATTTTTATAATTCATACATCATATGTTAATAATTCATACTTATTGCTTACTTCTTTCAGTAACAGTTTCCAGAATTTCATTTGAATCATTTGAAACAATTTCATTTGAAATCTGCCATTTTTGCTCATGAAAACCAGAGTCTGATTATAGTGATTTTATGTAAGTATGCATTTGCATGTAAACACACTGGAAGCATTTATATGCATTTTTAGATTTATGTTTAAACTCACATTGACTACATTGTTCTAGAAAACGACGATCTTTTAAGTGCTTAGCAGCTCTCAAAGGGATATGCGTTCATTACCCCCTTAATGAACCTTAATTGGCTTTATGCCCAGCTGCACTACTTCCTGAACTTCAGCCAGCTCCTTGTTTCCTGTCTGCCATTATTGGCCAAATTGATTAATTCAGGTGTGTCTGATTATTGTTGCCATGACTACTGAGGTCAGGTACACCTGAATTAATCAATTTGACCAATAATGGCAGACAGAAAACAAGGAGCTGGCTGAAGTTCAGGAAGTAGTGCAGCTGGGCATAAAGCCCATTCTCCCCCTAAAAGACTACTTAAGCCATACTAGATTTGTATGAGGAACGGACCAAAATGTAGGTCTCAAATCCTGAAATCAGCCCTAGTCAAGAGTTCATGAGAGTAGTAGTCAAGTCCAATATGTGAATGAATCATTCTTTTGAGTCAGATCACTTTTAATTAATCGTTTGATCCAGTTCATAAAACTGGCCTGAATGACTTCACTGCACAAATCACTGCAGTTCAGTACAGAAAATGTTACATAAAGTTACACAAAGTTATCCAAACGATTCAGAAGAGTCTTTGATAGTCTTACAGTACTTTTTGGAAAACTTGACAGCTCAAGTCCTTTCATTACATGTAAAGAAGTGGCTAGGACTTCTTTAGAGATTCCACTTCAGTGAGCCATAGAAAAAAGAATGCTCCTCCCCGCTCTACTTGTCGACTCTAGATGCGGCCTCCCTCCAGGGAAAGCAGGCCGGATCGGACGGTACGGGGGGGGCTCGACCACCCTCCCCTTCCAGTCTTCGAGCCGACTCTTTGCACCCGCACCTCCCTGCTCGAAAAGCACCTTTCCCGCTTACGGCCTCGACCCAGCGGCCAGGAGGGTTCTGCACGTGCCCTATGAGCGGCCGCGACATCCTTGAACCTCACCCCCGGGGCCTCGAGCGGAGCAAGACCCGTGTGTAGGAAGCCAGCGTTTTCGTGGTTCTCCTTCCCCCAACAGGACGGTTTACCTGGTTGATCCTTCCAGTAGCATATGCTTGTCTCAAAGTTTAAGCCATGCAGGTCTAAGTGCACACGGTCGGTACAGTGAAACTGCGAATGGCTCATTAAATCAGTTATGGATCCTTTGATCGCTCCACCTGCTACTTGGATAACTGTGGCAATTTCAGAGCTAATACATGCAAACGAGCACCGACCTGGCTCCCCTCGGGGGGTCGGGGACGCATGCATTTATCAGATCCAAAACCTATCCGGGGGCAGCTCCGGCCGCCCCGGCCGCTTTGGTGACTCTAGATAACCTTGGGCCGATCGCGCGCCCTCCGCGGCGGCGACGACTCATTCGAATGTCCTATCAACTTTCAATGGTACATTCGGCGCCTACCATGGTGACCACGGGGAATCAGGGTTCGATTCCGGAGAGGGAGCCTGAGAAACGGCTACCACATCCAAGGAAGGCAGCAGGCGCGCAAATTACCCATTTCCGATAAGGAGAGGTAGTGACGAAAAATAACAATACGGGTCTCTTTCGAGGCCCTGTAATTGGAATGAGCGAATCCTAAACCCATGGGCGAGGACCCATTGGAGGGCAAGTCTGGTGCCAGCAGCCGCGATAATTCCAGCTCCAATAGCGTATCCTAAAGTTTCTGCAGTTAAAAAGCTCGTAGTTGGATCTCGGGAGCGGGCCGGCGGTATACATTCCTTTATACATTCCATATCGCCTCAACCAGGCAGAAAAATTAAAAATAAGTGTAATTGTTATGAAATGGAAACTAATACTCTCAAACTCCTCCTTCCAGCCTCAAACCACCACTCTGATTGGCCTTCTAAAGACTGCACGGCTGCTGAGATTGGTTCGAGTAGCGAGGAAACTGGACCGTTACTCTGAGTATGGCGCAGCAGTTCTCTTCCTCCTCATGTGCACCTTCGCCCTCATCGCCCACTGGTTGGCATGCATCTGGTACGCCATTGGCAATGTGGAGCGCACCAGCTCTGCCCGAATCGGAGGCATGAAGATCGGCTGGCTGGACAACCTGGCAGACCAGATTGGCAAGCGCTACAATGACAGTGACTCCTTCTCCGGCCCCTCCATCAAGGATAAATATGTAACTGCACTGTACTTCACTTTCAGTAGTTTGACCAGTGTGGGATTCGGAAACGTCTCTCCTAACACCAACCCTGAGAAGATATTCTCCATTTGTGTCATGCTCATTGGCTGTAAGTGCACTCATTATCTTTATTAGACATGACAACTAAGTCTTCAAATCTTAAACATTATTATACACTACCATTTAAAAGTTTGTGGTCACTAAGATTTAAAAAAAAATAACTTTATACTTTTATTCAGCAAAGACATTAATTAGATTTTATAAAAATTACAGTGCAGACATTTATAAAGTCATAAATTATGAATAGTGTTCTTTTGGACTTTCTATTCATCAACGGTTTCCAAAAAAATATTAACCAGCTCAACTGTTTTCATCATTGATAATAATTAGAAATGTTTTTACTGTATTTTGATAAAATAAATGCAGCCTTGGTGAGCATAAGAGACTTATTTAACAAATGCCCCTAAACTTTAAACAGTGTCTATATAATCTAAATAAATTAAAAAATATATATTGTTTGTCCCATTCTATTTGCTGATGATAGTCTTTGATCTTCCTTTCCAGCCCTGATGTATGCCAGTATCTTTGGCAACGTTTCTGCTATAATTCAGAGGTTGTATTCAGGCACAGCTCGCTACCACACTCAGATGCTCCGTGTGAAAGAGTTCATCAGGTTTCATCAGATCCCAGGAGGCCTTCGGCAACGACTAGAAGAATATTTCCAGCACGCCTGGTCCTATACCAATGGCATCGACATGAACGCTGTGAGTTAAACCCACACACCCTGCAATTCAACCCGCAGCATTTATGCAGTAGCCTACATAAAATGACTTGCATACACCCTCCACAGTGTTCAAAGTACGGTGAGGGGGCTTTTAATTTTATGCTTTGTACTTGATATGCTACTTTTTAAACTCCTGGTAGGTTTCTGGGGTTGAATTTTATTTGTTTTTTAATTGTTTTAATAAAAATGTGAAATTTCTTCAAAATTGCTTTTCTCCCAGGTGTTAAAGGGTTTTCCGGAGTGTCTGCAAGCTGACATCTGTCTGCATCTGAACCGCAGTCTGCTGCAGAACTGTACGGCATTCCGGGGGGCGAGCAAGGGTTGTTTGCGTGCTCTGGCCATGCGTTTTAAGACCACCCATGCCCCACCTGGAGACACTCTGGTGCACAGCGGAGACATATTGACCGCACTATATTTCATCTCCCGCGGCTCCATAGAGATCCTCAGAGAGGATGTCGTGGTGGCCATTTTAGGTTGGAATTCTGTCTAATTCTGTTTTTATCTTTTGCTTCATTCCTCATTCATTTGAAGTCACTTCAGCTTGAAAAATAAAGTTTAAATGCTGCCTTAACAACTCTAGTAAGTATCTTATGCTCACCAAACTGCATTTATTTGACCGTCATAAATACAGTAAAACACTACTAATGTGAAATACTATTACAATTATATTGTGTTGGCAGTGTAGGATCCCAACATACAATAGGTTGAGCATCCACAATTTGTGTGGATGGGGATCGGTTTGATAAAGCTGTCTGTCATCTGTATAAAGAAAAAACTTTTTAGTTTCTTAGCACATCATTGTCATGTAAACGTACCCTGAATGTACCAGGCTTAAATAGGCAGGGACTGAAACAGCTGAGAACAATCAGGGATGATGAGACCGGGCAGTGATTTCTGGGAAATCTCTGATGGATTTCAAGTGACACCCGCAGTATTTGGCCCCCCAACTGTTATTCTTCTTTCTCTATTTCTGTTCTCTTCCAATTATTCCAACCTCCTGCCTCCTGTCCTGTTTTCACTGTAGGTAAGAATGATATTTTTGGGGAGCCCATCAGTCTATACGGCAGGCCAGGGAAATCAAGTGCGGACGTGAGGGCTCTGACGTACTGTGACCTGCACAAGATCCTGAGAGACGACCTGCTGGAAGTGTTGGACATGTACCCCGATTTTTCAGACAACTTCTGGACCAACCTGGAAATCACATTCAACCTTCGAGATGTAAGCCACTCAAACACACAACACATTGGATGAGAGCACGTCTTTATTCATGTTTCCGCACGTGTTCTGTAATTATGTGAGTTACTGAAGCTTGTGTGTATCAGGCAGACAGAATCATGCATCAAACCCCAAGCGAGGACTCAGACTGTGGGTACCGTCGGCCCAGACATCGGAGGAACCCCCTACAGCGAAATCGGCCTGGTAATGGTGCCTATCTAGTCTACGGGGGTCACAAAAATGGTTTTGCTGCAGGACTATACTATTTTGATCTTTCTCTTCTCTCTTACATCACACAGATGGGATGGACCGAGATGGAATGGACACGTACCCAGTCCAGTCCTGTTCCCCTGTGGGGAACCATCGGGGGGCAATACCGCTCTCACACTGGGATGAGTTATGCAGCAATGCATCCCTGTCCAGTGAGGAGGACATGAAGCCCTTGGTGTCCGACCGAGGGGAGATGTACTCACCAGGGACAGAGATGCAGGAATACTCTCATTCTGCAGTCAGCCATCTGCCGCCGGGCAACAGCACAGCCTCTGCCACGGGAGGAACAATGGGAGGGGTACATCCGTACACAGGTAGAAGGATTGGTGCTTCTTGAATCACAGCACACTGAACATAATATCGACCCCGGGTCATGAAAAATATGTGCCTGTGGTGACATTTTTGTGAAAAATGCTATTATGTTGCTTGTACATTTTGCAGAACTGAAATTTCACATTCGATTTTCTCCAGGATGGATAAAAGTGACAGTGCCAACATTTTATTAAGCTGGTTCAAGCATGTTCATGCACAGTAGTTCGGAAATATGATGTCTGGGGAGTGCCGCTAAAAGTTTTAAAGCTCTATAAAACGTAAAAATTAGGTAGAGGCAACGAGCCTCTATTGACGAGCCAGTGTTGCACCGAGTTTTGAATCCAGCTTAAATCATGTGGAGCACATGTCTGATCATGTGATCCTATGAAGCGAAAAAAAATGAATCAGCTTTTACTCTTATTATACTAATGATATAACATTATTTTAAACAATTTTCAAAAGTACTATTAATTTATGAGAAAAATCTTTTTTGGGAATTTTTAATTAAAAAACTATGAGCTCAAGAAATGTTAAAAAGGGAATAATTAATATACATGGATATGATATAGAACATGCAAATACATCGAGAAAATGTCATGCCACCTGTAGCCTAGCCATTGCAGTATACGTTTTGTACTTGGTAGAAGTATGCAAATTAGTATTTAGCTAATGTTTCTTTTTTATCTGCAAATTTGTGACATATTCTAATCATTTTGGTCTTGTCCATTATTCTGTCATTCTTCATCCATCCAGCAGCTCCTCTGAATGTGTCCGGGTTATACAGCTATTTGCCCGACCGCAGGGCCAGTCAGTACTCAGAGAGTAAGAGACACTCCTCTGCAGCGCAGGCCTGCTACCACCATCACAGCCCCTGTGTTGAGGACAGACCGAACCAACTGCAAGCCCGCCTGGAGCTGCTGCAGTCGCAACTCAACAGGTCTGACGTCCAGAGAAAAAAAACAAGCTTTAAATGCAAAGTCTGCATTTGCTTTCTAACCTCTCTCTCTCTCTCGAAAGACTGGAGACCAGGATGACAGCAGATATAAATGTGATCCTGCAGTTGCTGCAGAGGCAGATGGCACCTGTACCCCCCGCCTACAGCGCCGTTTCCCCAGAACCGCTGGCCCACCCCACTCACCCCGCTCACCCCACCAGCCTGTACACTACAGCAACGCATACCACCATGCCCTCTTTACAGATCTCTGACAGTACATCGCCTGGCAAGGTAAGTTGAGAGAGGGAGGGTGTGATATTTACCCGTATGTTTGTAAATCGCATATTACATGGATTAATCACAGTTTAAAAATCATTCATGAGCAATGAAACAGTATAGCACAGGTGGAAACAGTAGCAAGAGGGGGAAATGAAACACTCATATAAATATTGAGATGCTCTATGTTGGCTTGTCTCTAAATTAACCCTCTTTTGAAGACCATCCTCTTTCAGACTGTGGTAATATAGCGACTGTAGCGAGATACACTGTTCTCTGTTGTTAGCTCTTTAATCATTGTAGTGAGCACGTTGCACGGCTGTATTGAACCGAACCTGTTTTCCACATTACACAGAGCCCTGACTTGTACAGCTTCAAAGAGAAGTCTCCAGACTCTTTGTCCAGTGGGATCCACCTGACAGTTGCCTCAAATGACACCATGTCCATGTCCCCAGAGACCGAGCTAGCTGTGCCCACAGGAGAGCCTCATCTACAGCCCCCGGGACTGCTGTGTAGAAGCCTGCGCTTCCCATCTCTCCCAGACAGTCTGGAGAATCCAAGCACACTGGAGGGATCACCAGAAATCCAGAGGCACATGTCCGATCCCGTCTTACCTGGAAGCTAGAGGCCAAAAACAGACAGTTATTCATATTACAAAAACAGTCATTCATATTACTCATTAGTTCCAAGGGCGTCCAGTAGAGAAAAGTAGATTTCTCTGAATCTCTGAGGTGTTTTGTCTCATATCCCTTCTCATTAAGAGCAGGATTTTATTTTTTTCCTCTGATGCGAGAGTATTTGGTAACACCTCTCAACTTTTTTGTTATCGAATATGAAGAGAAGCACAGTTGGCAATAAAGACAAGATCAAAGAGTCAAAGAGAGATGCTACATTGTGATCACTTGACACCATCATGTAATAATTGTAAATGTTTTGTCTGGTTTAAGGTTTGTCTTTACGTTCTAAACTCCATCCTGTCTTTCGAGGCAGATCCTCTGAGGCATCAGCATCACTGAAACCAGGACAAATATGATACATATACCTGGGCTTTAAAAGTATGAGTTGCTTGTGTGTACTGATATTGTAAATGTGCTTGATTTTCTTTTCAATGTTAGATTTGATCATTTTAAGCTATGTATATATTGAGAGAGAGAGAGAGAGAGAGAGAGAGAGTGTGTGTGTGTGTGTGTGTGTATATAATCCAAATCTACTGTATTACTACATCAAATGACTGGCACAAAATGAATCTTTGTATATATTTGGATTCAGTAACCAAGTGGGCATGAATTCAGGGTTATGAAATGATATTTCTGTCACAGAAGTGGTTATTTTAACTGCTGACGGGTGGTGTGACTGTCACTGTGTGGATATGTTTAGACTCTTGAGAATTTTCTCACAAATTCTTGACGTTCTGTTTGGAAAGTGAAGGACTGCTTTTGTAAATGACGTTTTGAGATGAAATCAATGTAAAGTTTATTTCACCTCTGCAATGCAAGCAGATGAATGTATGTAAAATGACTAGAAACCTTTGTTGGACTGTCAAGGTTTCCAAAAGCACACAACTGTTATTATTAATATTTTTTAGATTAAATGTTATTTATAAAGAAGTACTAATGTTGTACTGGGTTTAAGCTATCAATATTCTTTGTCCTTATTTTCATTGGTCTGGTTTTCGTAAGTTTCATTTTTACTAGAGATGCACTGATATTAAAATAGCCATAATCAGTGTTTAGTACTTTATGTAATATAATGAAATTGGGAAGTAGCTTTTATTTTAATTTTTAGTAATTTTGTATCATTTTTTTTTAAATATTTTTATTTAGCTTTATTTTTGTTTCGGTTTGAGCAATGTTAGTACTTTAGCCTACTTAATTCAGCTGTTTAGTTTAAGTTTTTCTTATAGTCATTTAATTTCAGCTTTATTCCAATACCAACACATTTTTTTACATGGTTATAAGCGATAACTGGTTAATATTACATAATATTTATGTATGTATCCACACACATTTACTATTTTATCTAAATAAAAGTTTTTTAAATGCTACAAGTGAATTCAGGCATTACAACATTATAGTGAACTACGAAAAATGGATATTAATTTCTATATTTTGCTAAACATTACATTCAAGTGTTATTATTAGGATTTATAAACTTAGCGTTAGATGATAGAAATGAACTTCCTAAACTTCAGCCAGCTCCTTGTTTCCGGTCTTCCATTATTGGACAAACTGATTAATTCAGGTGTGTCTGACCTCAGTAGTCACGGCAACAATAATCAGACACAGCTAGATTAATCCGTTTGTCCAATAATGGGAGACAGGAAACATACGGAAATGTTAATTGTTACATAATGAATTACCACAGTAAGCTTTATGAAAGAACAAGAGTTTAAGTGAGTTTATTAATAGAAAAGCATAATGGCTGGACACACAAAGAACTACTTACATATAAGCACTCCATCTAAGAGTGTGAGGTGAGGATGACGATCCCACACAGCCTTGCAAACTCACTTTTGACTTCGGTCTTGACCGAAGAGTGGCGTCACTACTACATCATATTTGCATAACAACAGAACAATGAATAACAAGATCAGACCAAATGCCTCGCAATGCAAAATGATTCTTGAAAAGTGACACGTTTGTCCTACCTTGTACATAATATTTATATATGTATACAGTACATTTTTCACTTCAAGCACAAGCATGCTGAAAGGGGACTGACTTATTTTGAAAACTAACACGGGGAAAAAAAATAACAGGAGCTTTCTCACAATTAGTGAGCAGTAATGCATCTTTAAATGAAATAACATTTTGCTCAAGATATCCTCCACTCAAACACTGACGTCAACAATGCAACTAACCGCTATGCGAGTTATGAGCGTGTCTGAAGAACTATTATCAATGTTTTGCAGTGACGTCAAGCATTTTATCCACATACTACAAAGTTTCCAAAGCTTAACAAAAAAAAAAGGCACCTTCCTGAAATGAAAAGCAGGATCTGAAGTTCAGAGGCTCTTTAAAACTGTATCAATCCATCTTCATAAAAGGGTTGTTTTGGATGTCCATGTTGGCAAATCTTTACAATCCTAGTTTTTAACGGTCAAACTCAATAAACATGTATCTCACCTAACGCAAATGGCCAAGAATCATAGTAATTACAGATGTGTTTAAGATCCCACAATGAGGACTCTGGGACAGCAGGTAGGAAAACAGTCCAATATAATGTGCAGAAACACAGATACTCATTCACACATCTCATTCTTCCAGACAAAAGTTGTACACACATTGTTCAGACCGTTGTTCCCATAGGCCTGTTCATATCGCTTCCCGCTTGAAACCTCAGGAACTTTAGAAAACAAGTCTCTGCTTTTCCCCCCACAGGAAGCACAGGGGCGCTTTAAGCCTCGGCTCTACACCCTCAGGATCTCCAGACAGTTGTTGTAGCAAATGGCGATCCAGTCGGGCTGAGTGGAGGCCCACTGTACGTTGTTGATCTCTCCTTCAGCCGTGTAGGCCAGGATGGGGTCCTCGATGGCCCGCGGCATCTGCTGGATGTCCCAAATCAAAGCCTGGTGATCGTCCGCTACAGTGGTATTTAAAAGAAAAGGGGGGCCAGGTAAAGAAGACTTATAATGAAACAGCACTGTCACGGCTGCTACAGTCTTAAGGCTGTTCACACCAATGACAAAAACTACAACGATTCAGTTATAAAAATCAAAAATCATTCGAAATATAAAAGAATAGCATTAGAAATAGAAATAGTCCAACTATATCGATAACCGTACAGAGAAAAAAAAATCAATGGAATCACTTTCAGATTTCAATTTAGCCAAGCTGATGAACAACAAAACCACTGACAGCCAATCAGAAATAAACAACTAAATTGTTTGCGGATATGAACACTAATATAGATATCGTTACAGCGTTATCGTTCTTGGTGTGAACAGACCTTTATACTGACACAACAAAAACATCAACAATAAGGATAACAGAACGGACACATTCCCTATCGGACCATTCATATTTATTCATTTTACTGACGCTTTTATCTAAAGCGACTTACAATTGCTATATATGTCAGAGGTCGCACGCCTCTGGAGCGACTAGGAGTTAAATGTCTTGCTCAGGGACACATTGGTGTCTCACAGTGGATTCAAACCCGGGTCTCTCACACCAAAGGCATGTGTCGTATCCACTGCGCCATCACCACCCCAGATATTTTAATATTATTTGAACATTTAGTCCAAAAAGAATATACTACTATTTACGCAAATTGAATACACATATACCATTCAAAAACTGGTTTGTACGATGTTTGTGTTTTTGAAGTCTCTTATGTTCACCAAGGCTGCATTTATTTGATCAAAAACACAGTAAAAAATGTATCATTGTAAAATATTATTACAATTTAAAATTCTATTTGTATATATTTTAAAATGTAATTTATTCCTGTGATGGTAAAACTGAATTTTCAGCACCATTAATTCAGTCATCAGTGTCACATGATCCTTAAGAAATCATTCTAATATGATGATTTTTGTTGCCTCTTATTATCAATGTTGAGAACAGTTGTCCTGCTCAATTAAAAATTAAAAACATTCTTGATCAAATTAATGCATTCTTGCTGAATAAATGCATTTATTAATTATATTATATACGTATGTGTATATATACATATACACATATATCCACACACATACTGTACAGTAGTATGTGTGCATGTGAACGGGCTGGTTTCTAACCTGCTGTACATATGTGGCAGGAGGAGTGTGGCGCCCATGCGATACCGTTCACACAGGCACGATGATTATTGAGCCGAGCCACTGGCGTGCATGGCACACGCACGTCCAGAATCACCACCTGACAATAATAAAACAGCAAAAAGTGAGGGACATGAGTAAAGATGAGGACAAATGTACTAATGGACTAAAAGAGAGACCTCCATGCCATCCATGGCCATAGTAGCCAAGTAGTTGGGGTCCTGTTTGTTCCAGCACAGGCGGAGCAGCGGGTGGTGTTGAGGGTCCTCATAGATGATGGTGCTGTGCTCCAGGTGCCGCAGATCAAACATGCGCACAGATCCGTCGGCTCCCACAGACGCAAACATATCCCGACCGCCACCCGCACGGCTGAATGCGATGTCATACACCTTAAAGCCAATAAAAATGCTTGATTTATACAAAGAAAGCAACAAAGTACACAAAAGTAGAGTGGTAGTAAAAGTCCCGCCAGTTAAAAGATGAGAACCTGAAGTTTTAAGGTGAATTTTTACTCACCTCCTTGTCGTGAGCAATTAGCTGTGTTTTGACATGGCCTGACACCAGGTTGACCCTTCCCAGAACCTGTCCTGTCTCTAAACCCCAGATCGTGCAGGTGGTATCAATACTAGAGGTGCCTGAAAAAACACATACATGACGACATTTAAAATCTAAAAAACAAAACAAAAAAAACTACCAAACAACCGTTTTAAGTATTATTTATCCTATCGGTGTGTTGGGTAGCACTGTCGCCTAATAGCAAGAAGATCGATAACTTTTAAGCTGGCTATGATTAAACGACCGCTGCCTAGAAACTGCATAGATTGGGTTAGCCAGAACTGGGTACACTTCCCATAAATCCTGATGTACTCGTTACATCATAAGAAGAATGGCATCTACGCTAATATTAGTCTCTCTGTTTATCCAAGGTTTACCGGATCCAGATCTGATGAAGGACCTGCGCCTGGACACGACCACAACGCAGTCCTTATGCGTCAACTAGTCTCTCCCCTGTGAAGGCCTCCTTCCCTTCCCCTCACCTTTGTACAGTTAAAACATTGTCGGGATTAATTCCGGTTCACGTGGCTACGGCGGAAGCTATAAAAAATTATGCATTATACATTTTTCAAGGCTTGTACCTTGGAACATATTTTATGGTTTGCATTTCTCAAGCCACCAGGCACTATTTTGTGCAAAAGAGCGGCCAGATCGCATCAGGGGTTTTCTGTTAGAGCAGAATAGTGTTAGCTGCCTGAAGTGAATCAATCAAAACTAACTTTAGCAGCACAATAACTTTATTCTAGAGCTGCTGTAAAAGCCAAAACAATCTCTGTTGCTTTTAATTTCCTATCATCACTGTAAAGCTGCTTCGAAACAATCTATATTGTTAAAAGTGCTATATAAAATGAAGGTGACTTGACTTGACTTGTTCTCTTACCCAGAAGATTGGGGTCCACTTCATTCCAGTCAAAAGAGGTCAGAGGTGCGCAGAAATCAGAGTTCTTGTTATTATTCAGGAGACACTCCAGACGAGTCTCTGTATCATTCACCTGACAACAAGATACACACACTTCATTTAAGTATTTGTGTTTCTACAGTTATGCTTCACAGTATTAAAGCTATAGAGTCTTTGATCACTGAAAGATACATTTAAGTAAATTTTACTTTCTTCATACCCATTCCTGGTCTTATTGTGAACAATTCATCAATGCACTGCATACTTATTTGAAATATGAGACCTTTCACCAAGAAATCAATTACAGATGGATTTAATCAAGTCCTGACCAATCAAGCCCCACAACATAGAAGTAAAAGGGTTGTGAACATAATTTCATGTTGCCTGTAAATTTAATAATAAGATCTTTAAATCATAAGACATTTCAGTGTCATATGATTTAAGTCAGTGTGTAAAGCAATTTGCAACTTGAATTCTGTCATTTAAATTATTTCAGAGTGAAACAATATACAGCTATTTGCCTTTTGCACAAGTGACGTCAGTGGAAAAGGAAAGTTGTATCAGGAACAGCATATAATTAAGTAGATTTTTAAAAACTTTTTTTGTTCAGTTTATAGTAGGCGTCTTTACTTAAATTATAAAAAAAATTATTGTTAGGTACAATGTACTTATTGTGTTCATGTTTTATAGCAAATCACTTTTGCTGCTATTAAGGTGGGATACAGGTAAGGTTAGAGACAGGTTTGGTGGTATGGGTAGAGGTCAGGTTGAAAGGCAATGGTCAACAAATTACAAACAGATTAATTACAGCTGTAATAACAATGGAGGTATTTTTGAAATAAAAGCACAATGTATAAGTGTACTGGTATAAGTGTTTTAAAAGAAATGCCATATTGTAGTTATAAGTGTACTGGTATAAGTGTGTTAAAAGAAATGCCATATTGTAGTTATAAGTGTACTGGTATAAGTGTTTTAAAAGAAATGCCATATTGTAGTTATAAGTGTACTGGTATAAGTGTGTTAAAAGAAATGCCATATTGTACTTATAAGTGTACTGGTATAAGTGTTTTAAAAGAAATGCCATATTGTAGTTTCTTTCTTTTTTTTTTCTGCATGTATCCATTTTATGTATGTTGCATGTTTTGTCTGTGCCTTCTGAATGGACCAATAGTCTGGAAATAAAAATTGATGGTGATGAATCTAAAATGTATGTACACACAATAAGTGTGTTGCATCAAAAGATTCATTTATACATAGTAGATAAAGCCACTTAATATAAAGTAGGACTCCAATGTGTTGTGCATTGATGAATGTTCAAGACCAGGGACATACATTGATATGCATTTTCATCTGATGTTGTCTTGAAGTGCAGTCATTCATTACTAAAGTCTGATTATGCGTAACAGCAGAGTGTCTGCATGGTTCTATACCCTCCATATGCGCAGATAGTCTCCGCTGGTGGCCAGCAGGTCTGGATAGACACCCTTGGTGTCAGGGATCCACATTATCTTGGTGGTGGGGTACGGATGATCGAAAGTGTTCCTGCATACAAACTCTGAGCTCTCCTCCTCAAGACCCACCAGCTGGACCTGAACATCACAAAACAAACAGCTGATGTCCACATCACATTGAATCTACTGGATTCATGATGTACGAGTTTCTGACAGCTGTCAAAACAGGAGTCACAAACAAGATACAAATAACAGTCTGGCTAGTTATTTTAAAGCAAACAGGCAAAACACTAATGAATCAGGTTCAACGAATACATTTGTGCTCTATGAATGCCATCCATGTCAAAGACTCTGTAACTTGGCGTTGCTAAATCCCGTTTATCTGCCCGCCACCATGTTATTATGCATTTACACAGAACAAAGTAAAGATATAAGGCAGAGTGATCTGGGATCTCTTGGTTCACCTTGTTGTTATATTCCTCGACGAAGCTGCCGAGCGCCAGCCTAAAGCGCTTGTCGGGTCTGACGCTCCAGTTCATGGCATAGACGGTCCATGGCGCCTCGTATTTGTAGATCTCTTTTCGTTTACCGTGTAATGACATGTTCCAACCCCTTGATTGGTTCGACGAAAAGCAGTATTTAGAATAAGGTCGTAACGAATAGCTAGATTTGCACCGATCGCTGAAAGAGGCTCTTCAGCGAGAAATATAGTCTCTGGTTTGTGCAGCGAGAGACAAAGAGAATGTCATAACATAACAATCTCCCTCCGCAACGGCCACGAAAACGAAGAGACGCGCTCTCACTGCGACGACACAAAACCTTCTTAATCAAACACACAGATTACCATCCAATATTCACGATTGTGTGTAGCTAAAGATCCATCTTTTTGCTGTGTCCCAACGGTTTTAATTCTAACTTAAGAAAGCCCTAAATAGGCCCGACCTCTCAAAGGCGCATTTGGTTTGAGGATGTGAGTGTTTCAAAATAAAAGTCCCTCATAGAAAATGGGGTCTGAGCGTTGGGGTTATTTATAGATCTGTTGCTAGTTGACAATTTTACTTTCACATCATATAGGGCAGGTTTTTCAGAATTGTCAGCGGTCCCCTTGCCTTTAGCCTTGCAAAGCAAGCGTGCAAAATATATCTGGCTGTGGCTCTAGAGACAGATTAAAGTAGTTAAAACACACACACACACACACACACACACACACAAAACAATATATAAAAAATCCTAAATAACTATAAATAAATAAATAAATAAATAAATAACGGATTCCATACCAAGAAACAGTAAAACAATGGCCAATAACAATTGTGGATGCTCAAGATTAAACATAAAATAAATCTAGTTAAAGCTATCTAGTTCAAAATGCAAATGTCGTTTTTTTTGTCGAAGTTTATACGATTTTCAATAATAATTAATATTATTGGGGATTATTTGATAATGGATACTTAGGGTTAATCATTTATCAGAGCATTAAACAGAGTATTTTTGCATTCAACAATATCAATTTTCAAACTCAATTATGAAACAATAAAATGGAACAATAACATGCATATGAAAATAAAATAATGTAAAATCTCATATCTATCATTTTAATGTGTAAACAATTTAATGTGTATTAAGAAACATGAGCATATTCAGTACAATAAACAAAAGCATAATCTTCAGACATGTACCCCTGTACATGCAAGGAGAAAAAAATGAAGCTTATACAAAATCTTAGAAGGAAAAATACTCATACATTAAGTATTTTATAGATGCTAAACATTTAAATAATTCATATTTAAAACAAGATAAGAGGGTTTACGGTTATTCCAGTTGCTTTTGTATGATATTTACCCAGAGTAATAATAATGTTAATGTTAATAAAAACATCATCAATGACGTATTTTTCTACATAAACCAAAACATGAATAAAAAAATATTTTCAGGATCTTTATTGCCAGGTATAAATATCGTGTCAGAACTGAAATGTGACCTGGGGAAGAAAAATAAATAAATGTTTAATGGTTTAAGGCTCCTCCAAAATCAGATTCCACAAAAATCTACTTCAAAGCGGAAATCTTTTCCGTAAAATTTCAGCAGCAGGATAAACATTAATAATGATTCTAAACTGAATGTCATTCATTAGGTACAATTGGCGATTTGAGATAATTATAGAAGTATTTGATTCTAAATGTTTCATTATCAAACATTGTACTTTGCTGGTGCAGAGACCACCATAAACAAACGCCTCGATCTTTTCACAAAGCATTGTGGGTAGATTCTGTCAGATGACCCTTGGCTCTCCTGTGAGAGATACAGCTGCTGTCACACACTGTTAGCCACTGAAGGAAACCCCGATATTTACAGGTACGTCTGCCTGACTTTCGCCGTATTCGGTAACCTTTTGTATTAACCCAGTGAAGTGAACTGATCGACGCAGCCACAGTGGCGCAGAAGTGTGTCGTGGGCTTTTCGAGGTTGATTGTGTAGCAGCCAAAGCTAGCGAGCTAATGAGCTATCATGGAGCAAGACTCATGGGGGTTGGGGTAGAGACCGGTTTTTTTTTTTCATTCGATTTGAAGATTTGTTAGATTTGCCTGACACGACATGCACGGAACATGTCAGAGTTTTTATCTAGTAACGTTAGTTTAATTGGCTCTGGTACGATGAGCTTTTCCAAGTTTATCGTTAGAGGTGACACGGTTAACATGCTAGCAACAATTCCGTCATCTATGAATCTACGGTTTACTATTTCGAGTACTTATTCCAATTACAGTCTTGTAACAGGTGGAGGATGACTTGACACCCGGTTATAGCTGTTAACTCACATTACAAGCTGCATGTATCTCGTCGTCTTGGCAGAAGCTAACTTACTCTTCTGTCTGGATTTACACACAGTGGATTGGATGCCTGTTATACTGTCAATTATTATGAATATAGACACAAACCAGAGAAAAAAATGAAATGGAATATAAGCTATGGGGCCCTAAAAGCCTTTGTAATAAATTCCTCTGTTTTATGTTTATGTCTATGTTTTTTACAACATTTAATTCTCTATATGTAACATTCATTTAGTTTTTCAATGGTATTTTGTATTTTATGCTTAATTCACGTGTATAACCTCAGAAATGAAACTGATTTTTGTAGGTAACTTAAGTTGTGCATAATCTTGTAAGATGGTTAGCATCCACTGTCCATAGGAAAAGAGTGAATCAGCTTAGTGTATGGCCAACCAGTCTTTGCCATGTGGTTAATAAAGACTTTCATCCAATTAGAAGATGCTTGTTTCAATGAACATCTGAGGCTTAGGCTTTGACGTTAAGACTCAAAAGACTGACTGACCTCCCCCTTCCTGCTGGTTCTGTGTTACTGTTTCAGTATTAAAACCATTGAACCATTTTGGACATGTTAATCACCGTGGGACCCATTTGAAATTATAATTCCTTCCATTATGTCTGTTTACTGCACCATTTCTCATTAATTTATACACACAGTACTTTTAGACATTAGGTAAAAATAATCTTCCCTTTATGTGTGTGAGGAGGAGGAATTGCTTTACAAGTGTTTTTTTAATTTTTAACAAAGGCATATGGCAAGTAAACTTGTTTTTAGGCTTGACTCTTTACACTGTAAACATTTGTGTTCTTGGTATTAGAAACCAAACAATCAAGTTCTGTTTGACTCAATACCATAGGCATCACTGAATGGGAAATGTTTTTGGATATACACTCCGGGGCCATCTTATCACTTATTAATAAATCAGTAGTAGTAGATGTATGCTATTTTCATACATTTACTCGTTTAGGCTACACCAGTTTTTGATACACTGCCTATTTTGCAGGTTTTTTCACTTACAAAGCATGTAGGAGTCTGTAATTTGTATCATAGGTACTCTTTTACTGTGAGTGACGGAATCTAAAACAAAAATCCAGAAAATCTCATTATATGATTAAGTAATTAATTTGCATTTTATTGCATGACTAAAGTATTTGATACATCAGAAAAGCAGATGCTAATATTTGGTACAGAAATCTTTGTTTGCAATTGCAGAGTTCAAGGTTTCCTGTAGTTCTTGACCAGGTTTGCACACACTGCAGGAGGGATTTTGACCCACTCCTCCATACAGACCTTCTCCAGATCCTTCCGGTTTCAGAGCTGTCGCTGGGCAATACATACTTTCAGCTCCCTCCCTCCCTCTCTATTGGGTTCAGGTCTGGAAACTGGCTAGGCCATTGACACTGTTTTAGCAGTGTCAATCACGCTCATGTACGCACTGATCACACCCCTCTCTTGCACAGCACGCCGTCATTCAAACCAAACTCAAGATTGTCTGTGTGCTGCAGCTGTGCTAATGGCAGAGAAACAACCTAAACTGCCAATTTCTCGAGTGGCACCTGCTCATAAAACAAAGACGGATAAAAGGATAAAACCGATGATGATAAACAAGTGTTTTTAATCAAATAAATGCAGCCTTGGTGAGCATAAAATATAAAAAATAAATAAAAATGAAATAGTCTCACCAACCCCAATATTTTGAACACTAGTATAACTGATCACACTTTGTGTTAATGTCAACTTAACATGAGTTCAATTCATTTGTCATTTACTGTGTAGGTTGAGCCATGAGGCACCTGGTCTTCCTCCTCCCAGCCCTGCTGCTCCTGTTGGCCCTGCCGGACACTAGGGGACGCTACAACGATGACTTCGATGATGGTGAGGACATCGCTGAGTTTGATGACAATGACTTTGCTGAGTTTGAGGATGTCGGCGAGGACCCAGCAGTCGATGTGGAGAAAGAGCCACCCCCACGGGCAGCCCCCTCATCCACACCCGTAGAGGACGACGAAGACGAGGCCACGGTGGAGAACGAAGACGGCCAGGATGAGTTTGAAGATGGCGATGCACAGGTAAAGATGTGAAAAGCCATTCTTATCTCCTTTCTTCTGAAAGTCCAAGTGAATGAATGATTTAATCTAATCTGATCATTGTTAAAGGAACAAGACATGTACAGCAAATATGACAACGAGGAATTTGAAGGCTACGAGAAGAGCAACCCTTCATTTAAAGACACTCTTATATACAGAGAGGTACAAAAGAAGAAAAAAAATGCATTTGAGCTTCACAGGCACTTTCCTCAGCTGACTGTGTGTTTGTATGTTACAGGTCCCAGCACATCTGCAGAACAGCTGGGAGAGTTACTACATGGAGATCTTGATGGTCACCGGTCTTCTTGCCTATATTATGAACTACATAATTGGCAAAAACAAGAACAGCAGGCTCGCTCAGGCCTGGTTCAATTCCCACAGAGAACTTCTCGAGAGCAACTTTGCCCTCGTGGGTAAGTGTACCTCTTGCTCCACTTTGTTTCTACTTCTTATGGTGTTTTCTCTGACCCTGTTTTTTCTCTGACTCTCAAATGTGTCTTTATTTTTAGGAGATGATGGTACCAGTAAGGAGGCCACCAGTACGGGGAAGCTGAACCAGGAGAATGAGCACATCTATAACCTGTGGTGCTCAGGACGTGTTTGCTGTGAGGGGATGCTGATTCAGCTTAAGGTAGCATGCGTGTTTGAATATGAGAGAGAAAAACACATACAGTATGTTTGATATGTGTATTCACTAGTATCATTGTTTGTTGTTCTGCAGTTTCTGAAAAGACAAGACCTGCTGAATGTGCTGGCCAGGATGATGAGACCAGTCTGTGATCAAGTGGTAGGCACACGCAAATTCTGATGTATTAACGTAAAAAAGATTACAAGTAGCATCTCAAATGGATGTTCAAAATGCTGTTCCTCAAATTCTCACTCTTCATTTTATACAGCAAGTTAAAGTGACTCTGAATGATGATGACATGGACACTTTTGTGTTTGCCGTGGGGAGTCGGAAGGCCATGGCACGGCTGCAGAAAGAGATGCAGGACCTGGTTAGTTCTGAAGGATTTACATATTTTATACAGAATATAATATTATGTATGCTACTGTTCAAATGTTTGGGGC